GTGGGGGGGTTGTCACAGGCCTGCAGAGCCTACAGTGTTTACTTTGTGTCCCTTTACAGTGAGTTTACCGACTGCTGCTCTAGGCAAAAGCAGGTTTAGATAGGTCTTTCATTTAATGTTTGTTTACTGAGAAATCCAGTCTCTAACAGTGCTTATGCATTTCTAGAGCGGCAGAGGTGCGCACTCTGGATTAGGAAGCTGTGTGAGCCTTCAGGAACAGGTTCAGGAACAATGGGCAGAAAGAATCGGAATCTGTATGCAAAACTGTTACTGCACATGCTTAAGCGAGGGGTGATCGAAGGCCCATTTATACACCGACCCGAGCCAGGGACACTAAAGACTTTACCCTCATACATGGTAGGTGTCATCGACCAAAAGGTAGATTAGTTCAGTTTCTTTAAAACTGAATTTATCATCCCTTTTGGGAATGGTCGTATTGGTATGTTACATGTCCACTAACAAAGGCTTTATGTCACAAATAACAATGAGAGGGCCTAGAGACCTGCCTGGGATTTCCAGCTCATTTATGGCATGGCCAGAACTAAATCCCAGGTCTTCAACTCTGTTGTTTTCATCTTATTAAAGGATTCCTAATTTTTATTTATTGTGGTTTCTCTGCCCACTGACTTTTTAGGGAGGCTGCAGAATAGTTAATGATCAGAGAAAGAAATAATTGAGCACATGATTTAAAAAGATCTTTCCATTTATGTTTACATAAAGCTAATATTCCTTTTGTAATACAAATAATTACTATCAGATTTACCTGTTATGCAGTTTGGTCATTCATGAAATTTCTTATACAGCAGAGCACAACTAAAATTTATACTTACCCATTTTATGTATTTTAATATTTCATAATTCATTGTGCATTGAATGATACATTTTTATATATTTTTTTGTAGTTGAATTTGCATATTTGAAAGGTTGTTACCAAACTTGAAATTTGATGGAAATCTTAACTATTTCATTATAGTACATATTGAAAGAGTAATTTTTCTAATTTTTAAAAATCAGTCCATCTATTTTGATGAACCAAATCCAGCACGAGCAAAAGGTTCAAGCCCAGAAGGATTACCGGACTGGGTAGTGGGTGAGCTGGGGACGAGTGAGCACAAGTTAAACGAATCATGGAAGCTTTCTTCTGGAGACAGTTACTCTTTGGTGCAGTTGCCAGCTGACGTCCGCAGGTATGCTATGAAAATGGGATTTAGAATGTGTTTCATCATTTAGCCTGTCTTTAGAGCTAGTTCACTCATTTCATTTTCCCTTTTTTTTTTTTTTTTTTTTTTTATGGTAAGTGGTTGATTTACTTTGTATTTTTATTAAAGTTGAGGCCTGTAATGGAACACTGGGGAGGTAAAATGACAGTTTTGCTTTTTCATTTACTGTATATTCAAAATTACGTTCTATTTTTAGCCATTTTTTGGATATCTGTGATATATATATTTTATTGCTTGGAAAGTTCCTGAGATCCTTTAAATAACACAATTCTCTTTCTTTTATGACAAGCATGAATTAAGAACATTATCAATGACTACAACGAACTGTAACATCTTGCATATCCATCTTAAAGTTTATGCTTGAATTTTTCTCCTTTCCCCCATCACACAATATTTGATTTAATAAAATAACGAATATAAACATAAAACTCATTAAACTGTGCTTTCTTACTAGAGTGCTAAGCTTAACTAGGACTTTTAGTGCAAACAAAAGTGAACTAAGTTTTTGAAATACACAAAAAGATTATTGTTGTAGTACAACTTTTGGCCTCTAGGAGTGATAGCCTTACATTGGACTTGTATGAGATTCTGAGCTCTGCCTTTGGCGTAGTTCCCTCAAATGTTAAAATATTGAACAGCGTCAATTGACATGTATCATGCTTCATCCTTACTCCTCACCATTCTCTTGGTAATTTTAATTTCAGATTTTATTTGGTTAACAATAGAATCTATCTTTTCTACTACATGTTTTTTTTGGTTCATTACGTAATCAGATATAGAGATGTTACTAGTAATTTGAAATGTCTTCACAGTTGATGTAGTCTGATTATATGTTTTCAGATGTCAAGTATTATGGTGGGAAAGAGATCCAGTCCCTAGGAACGTTTTGATTGGAAAGGGGAAACATTAACATAGAGAGGCAAAAAAGGAAGGGGGGATATAATTAAGGACCCGGTCAGAAGAGTAAAAAGAAATGAATAGGTGAGTCTATAGGAGGTGGTGTAAAGTATTTATTTTTGCATTCACAGGAGATTTGAAAATAGAGAGGTGTAATTGTGGAATTGTTGTTAGCCTTATAAGCAGGTAAATGTAGGTGTAAGGAGACTGTGATGTGCTTACAAAGCATCAGATGTTCGCCAAAAGATTTGTTGAGTATCCGACTAACTGCCGGGTTCCTCCCTGGGTCTAACGGACATCGAGTTTACAGTGCGAAGGTGGATTAAAGGAGTTTCCTGTGTCTTGGAGTTAGACCAGAGGTTGAAAATGGGTGATCTGCTTGGCCTGAGTGAATCATGTCCATAGATTTGTTTGGTTTGACTTACATAATGTCTTGAAAGCTTTTTTAATGAGTTGTCAAAATTAACAGAATTTTATATAAAAACCCAAATTTCTGGCTTATTTTAAAAAGTGGAGACCTAGCAATCTTTCCAGAAGACAGTGATAAGTTGGAGCTGAGTAATACTCAGTTACTCCCACAATGCAGCCGGCGTGCCTTCACTATGTCCTGCTAATTTCTGACCCTGAGCTTGAGGTCAGTTGCATCTATTCTTGAACTTGAGCTTTTTTTTTTTTTGTAAGTAAGGTTAAGAAGGGGGAAAAGTATTTGTGTTTCCATTTTTATATTCTGCCAAAGGTAGAAAGAAGAAAGGCAAATACAAGGGGATCACCTGATTCCAGAAGAGGGGACCCTAGGGGAGCTTTGCAGAAGCAGGACTATCCATGTGGTAGTGCAATCGCCCAGTTCTCACCTGTCCAGTCTTACAGGCGTTGGCCTGGAGCCGTGCTCTAGATGAGCAGGAAGAGGGGTGAGTGCCTGCAGTGCCACACAGTGGTCCTGCGTGCTTGTGGGAGTGTTCGTGAGGACTGAGGCATGTGCGAGAGGAGGGCCCAGGATGGGAGACGCATGGAGCTCCAGCTTGCTTCCTCATACAGAGGATAATGTTTGAGAAAACAGAATATTCTTCAAATATTAGTGAGTTTTCTGGAAATGAAGTCATAGTAAAATCTCTACAAGTTTCATAAATAGCCTATTTCTCTTTGTTACTCAGCTGTAATAAAATGACATTTTAATGCAAATTACTCGAGTGTGGGCCTTTAGTTAGCAGTTATATGATATAATTAATTAAAGTAATTAATCGGAAAAGTAGGCAGTCCCTTGGTCCTAGTCATTCTTTAGATCTCCTGGCTTCCTAAAAGCCTTTCCTGTCTTCCCAGGCCGGTTTCGGGGACTCTCGTTTATGCCAGAGTCCTGTGTCCTTTGTTGCACTCGTCACATTTGCAGAGGCTCCATTTCTTTCCTTTTTGCTGGATTGTGAATTTTGCGAGGCAAGAACTGTGATTTTCCCACTTGCACTGTGTTCCCAGTGCCTGGCACTGAGCAGGAAGCTGTTGGGGACTCCGTAGCATTCATACTTGGCGAGCGCTCGCTTCCTTGAAGGCCGGGTTGTGTTAGGCGCTGCCCCGTGCACTTCATTGAATCTGTACAAAGCCCTCTGAGATAGCTGTGTTGTCACAGAGAGAATGGCACACAGAGATTTTTTTTTTTTTTTTTAATTTTTATTTTTTAAATATATCTTTTTATTGATTTCAGAGAGAGGAAAGGAGAGGGAGAGAGAGACAGAAACATCAATGACGAGAGAGACATTGATCGAGCCCGCAACCTGGGCATGTGCCCTGACCGGGAATCGAACCCCGATCGCCTGGATCCTAGGTCGACACTCAACCGCTGAGCCACGCCCGGCCGGGCTGGCACACAGAGATTTTAAAAAATCAGAAAAAGTTGAGGTAAAGGTCAAATTTAGAAAAAATTAAGAGAAGTATGGTTGCAGGCTATGGAGATGCCTGTCACATGTGGTGAGGAATGCAGAGACAGTGAAGGAGCCCGAGAAGACACACTGACATGCCCTTCTGCTCAGGGGTGGGATATCAGTGGGCCCAAGGCCAGTTAGGGCTGCGAAACAAAGCAACACAGTGCATCTTTTCTTCTATGTTTCTCAACACATTTAACTTTAAAACATTAATTTAATTAACAGATCTTTGGAATTTTATTGACATGAAGGCATTTAGAAACTAAAACTAGCGTTTAGGTTAGCTGAAGGCAGTGGAAGTGATTTTAAGGCCAAGTGCATAATGTATGAGTTGGAGCAGAAGTGCGGCGAAGTCTAAAAATGGTCTCTCCTCCTGTTTCTGTTCCGAAGTTGCTCCTTTCCCCCGCATGGCCATACTGGGCTGCTGAGAAAGTGTCTGCTCATGTGGACCGGATACATCTAATCAGTTCTGCAAGAGATTGTTTTTAAAAAGTTTAAGAGGCTTATAATATTTGACACATGTATATTTTTATAGTGAATAATTTATTGTTGCTTAGAACTGAAGTTTAAGGCTGCCTCATAAATTTTACAACCGCTTCAACTTGTCTTTTGAAAAACCTCTTTAATCTTAAAAGATTTTCCCCCTTAGTGTTTCTTTTTTGATCACTTTATAAAATCCTGCTTTACTTAGACCTTTTTGTATGTGAAGTATTTCTGATGGCATTTTAGATTATGCTGTTTGTGTCCAGCCTTTTATATTATTAAAGATGCAGAGCCCTTTTGAAGCCCCTTTGTTAGGGCTCCCTGTTCAACAGAGATGGCGCCTCTCCTTTACCTTTATTCTGCCCTAGGATGTGGCCCACAGCCCGGTTCGAAGAAGCTTGGAAGCATTAGGAGGTTATATTCCATCAGGCTCATTATCTGCTTTCTCTTTTCCACCGAATATACATTATACGCCTGTAAACTTAGCATTTCACATCAAAAGCTTCAGCACCCCGCGAGGTGTGGCCTGCTTTTATTCTTTGCTTTCTTTCCTTTCTCATAGTTCTTGGTTTTAGGTTTTGTTATTAGCCATGTTTTCTTCTAGAAAAACCACTTTCCAAACTGCATTGCTGTTTTATGAGATTTCTTACTGTATTTTTGTGTCAAAGATCTGCTTATTTTCTTCACAATGAGATATTTTAGTTATATTTGAGTTGGGAACATGGTTTTCCAAAACGTACAGTGTTCCTGTGCAGGTTGGTTCATCTCATTTAGGTCCTCAACCATGAGCTGTATCCACTATTTACTTCCTGGTCATCCTTCAGATGCCTGCACTGAGATCCGGTAAAGACCTTAATTGTCTTTGTAGCAGGCAGACTTTCAGGTGGCCCTGTGATGCTCCTCTGGTGTTCACAGTGTGAATGACCCTTCCCCCTGAGTGTGGGCAGGACCTGTGACTTGCTTCTAGTAGAATATGGCCATGGTGATGGGATGACACTCCCATGATCACATTATGTTATGAAAAACTGTCCTGCCAGCGGACTGTCTGTAGAGCCTGTGCCTGTTCCTTGCTGGCTGAAGGAGCGGGCTGCCGTGAATTCAATAGCCAGATACAAAACCATCTTACCTTTAGGGAGTGGGACTGGCCTGGGAGGAAAGTTACAAACTTTTTTTGTACGTGAGTTTATGTTATTTTTAATAATTGCACACTTATTTTTTGATTGTCACAGTCCATTTGCCTTCCAGAATTTCATCTTGTTTGGGCATACACATCATTAACATTAGTGACACACATTAATACATTTACTACATATAACAAATAGATTTCAACATAAGAATGACATTTTTGCAATAAATAACCTAAATATTTATGTGTTCTACATGAATTTCTAATTTGTTAAAACAGAAACCAAGTGGCACAAGTTGTACCATTGATGGAGCACCTACCATATGCTAGAGACTGTTCTAGAAATCTTTTGTAATCTGACTACATCTCTACACTCATGTGAGGCTGGTGTGATTGCTCTTTGTATTTATAGGTGAGGTCACAGCTTCAGCAAGGTCAAGCAGCTTTCCCAGGGATGGACCCAGGTCTTTGTGATTTCAGACTCCACGTTCTCTCTAGTAAACCATGTAGGGATGAGCACCTTATGCAGTAAATATGGACATTTCATGTCA